TGTGTGCACTACACTTTACTGCCTCCCAGACACTATTGTTTCCAAGCTCAAACTTTTCCTAGGCTAGACAGTCTCTGGAGGAAAGCAATTGAATGTACTTATAGCCTCAGAAAGTGTAAACAAAAACCTGAAGTGTCCAAAATTAAAGCACGGCGGCATGTGATGAGAATATAAAATACTACTTAAATGTCTCCCGCGCTAGATACAAGATCTAAACTCTAGTCTCGTCCAGGGCAGCGGTCCTGAGCTGGGGGTGCTTTCCCCCACCCCCTTTCGGGGCCTCAGTTTCCCTCCCTATGAATGGAGAGCTGGACTTGCAGAATCTCAATTAGGTCCTGTAGGTCTCTTCTCCTCCCTTGTGGCCCGTGAATTCAAAAATAGGGCACGTGATCGGGCACCAGCGGGACCCTGGGGAGCACTGGCAAACCCGAAGGGACCTGGACACATGGGCACGGGCCTAGTCTTGCGCCAGTTGCCAGCGAGGCGTTGGCCTCGCATGAGGCGGGGAGCCAGGCGAGTGTTCTGAGAGGCCCTAGCGCGAGGGACCACAAGAGCACCCCTGCTTCACCAGCCCTGCGGGGGTCCCAGCCCACGCCCTCTGCCGTAATCGCCCGGCTGCGCTGCCCACGCATGCGCAGCCCGGCCATACCGCGGGCGGGGCGGGGGGGGCGGAGCGAGCCGGGCGCAGTTACACCTCCCTCCCCGCGCGTGCTCCAAATTAACGCAGCTCAAGGGCACGCAGGATTATGATGGGCTTTCTATGCAGACCAGACCGGAGAGTTGAAAGGCGACCATGAGGTCATCCTAGAGTCTAGACTGCTAAAGCAGGGGTTCTGGATGCTTGTGAGAATTCTAGGTTCCAGGGCTCCACACCCACTACCTAACACTCAGGAACATCAATTAACAAGTGACCCCAAGTAACTGAGATAAGGGGTCCTCACTGGATCGCCCTCTTGTTTCAAGGAATGCAAGAGAGGGAAGATAGTAACAGAGAAATGATTGCCTCAAGATGGAACAGCAGGAATTACCTGGCAGAGCTGGCAGAACCCAAATATCCTGACTTGCTCTCAAGTGCTGCCCCCATTTCTTCCCGCTTTCCCCCTTCTGCTGCATTTTCACAGCATGGTTTAATCAGTACCAGGCAGGCTGGCAGGCAGTCCATTCACAACGGTTGGGCTAAATGAAAGTCTCTTTCCCAGAATACCGAAGAACCCCTTCCAACAACTCCACATCAGAGGTCCACTCCCAGTTCTGACCCTTGCCCAGCATTATTGCCTCAGCATGCGTGAGGGTTTGGGACACCCAGGAGGAAACAATGACCCCCCTCACCCCCAACAAACAATGGCCAGGGTGGGTGTACAACACCCTCTCTTTTCTGTTGTGATCATGAAGGACAGTCAACCCAAGAATATAAAATGCTCCGTGTGTGTGTGTGTGTGTGTGTGTATGTGTGTGTGTGTGTGATGGGATTGCTCCGTGTGTGTGTGTGTGTGATGGGATTGCTCTGTGTGTGTGTGTGAGTGATGGGATTGCTCCGTGTGTGTGTGTGTGTGTGTGTGATGGGATTGCTCTGTGTGTGTGTGTGAGTGATGGGATTGTCCGTGTGTGTGTGTGTGTGTGATGGGATTGCTCCATGTGTGTGTGTGTGTGTGTGATGGGATTGCTCCGTGTGTCTGTGTGTGTGTGAGTGATGGGATTGCTCCGTGTGTGTGTGATGGGATTGCTCCGTGTGTGTGTGTGTGATGGGATTGCTCTGTGTGTGTGTGTGTGATGGGATTGCTCCGTGTGTGTGTGTGTGTGATGGGATTGCTCCGTGTGTGTGTGTGTGATGGGATTGCTCCGTGTGTGTGGTGTGTTGAGTGATGGGATTGCTCCGTGTGTGTGTGTGTGTGTGTGTGATGGGATTGCTCCGTGTGTGTGTGTGTGTGTGTAGAGTGATGGGATTGCTCCGTGTGTGTGTGTGTGTGATGGGATTGCTCTGTGTGTGTGTGTGTGAGTGATGGGATTGCTCCGTGTGTGTGTGTGTGTGATGGGATTGCTCCGCGTGTGTATGTGTGTGTGAGTGATGGGATTGCTCCATGTGTGTGTGTGTGTGAGTGTGTGTGTAAGTGATGGGATTGCTCCGTGTGTGTGTAGTGATGGGATTGTTCCATGTGTGTGTGTGTGTGATGGGATTGCTCCGTGTATGTGTGTGTGTGTGAGTGTGATGGGATTGCTTTGTGTGTGTGTGTGTGTGTGTGAGTGATGGGATTGCTCCCTGTGTGTGTATGTGAGTATGTGTGTGAGTGATGGGATTGCTCCATGTGTGTGTGTGTGTGTGTGTGTGTGTGTGTAGTGATGGGATTGCTCCGTGTGTGTGTGTGTGAGTGTGTGTGTGTGAGAGAGTGATGGGATGATGGGATTGCTCCGTGTGTGTGTGTGTGAGAGAGATGGGATTGCTCCATCTGTGTGTGTGTGTGTGTGTGTGTGTAGGGATTGCTCCGTGTGTGTGTGAGTGATGGGATTGCTCCGTGTGTGTGTGTGAGTGTGTGTGTGTGTGAGAGAGTGATGGGATGATGGGATTGCTCCGTGTGTGTGTGTGAGATGGGATTGCTCCGTGTGTGTGTGTATGTGTGTGATGGGATTGCTCCGTGTGTGTGTGTGTGAGATGGGATTGCTCCGTCTGTGTGTGTGTGTGTGTATGTGTGTGATGGGATTGCTCCGTGTGTGTGTGTGTGTGAGTGATGGGATTGCTCCGTGTGTGTGTGTGTGAGTGATGGGATTGCTCCGTGTGTGTGTGTGTGTGAGTGATGGGATTGCTCCGTGTGTGTGTGTATGTGAGTGATGGGATTGCTCCGTGTGTGTGTGTGTGAGTGATGGGATTGCTCCGTGTGTGTGTGTGAGTGATGGGATTGCTCCGTGTGTGTGTGTGAGTGATGGATTGCTCCGTGTGTGAGTGTGTGTGTGTATGTGAGTGATGGGATTGCTCCGTGTGTGGTGTGTGTGAGTGATGGGATTGCTCCGTGTGTGTGTGTGTGTGTGAGTGATGGGATTGCTCCGTGTGTGTGTGTGAGTGATGGGATTGCTCCGTGTGTGTGTGTATGTGTGTGAGTGATGGGATTGCTCCGTGTGTGTGTGTGTGTGAGTGATGGGATTGCTCCGTGTGTGTGTGTGTGAGTGATGGATTGCTCCGTGTGTGTGTGTGTGTGATGGGATTGCTCCGTGTGTGAGTGTGTGTGTGTATGTGAGTGATGGGATTGCTCCGTGTGTGTGTGTGTGTGATGGGATTGCTCCGTGTGTGTGTGTGTGATGGGATTGCTCCGTGTGTGAGTGTGTGTGTGTGTGAGTGATGGGATTGCTCCGTGTGTGGTGTGTGTGTGTGATGGGATTGCTCCATGTGTGTGTGTGAGTGATGGGATTGCTCCGTGTGTGTGTGTGTGAGTGATGGGATTGCTCCGTGTGTGTGTGTGTGTATGTGATGGGATTGCTCCGTGTGTGTGTGTGTGTAGAGTGATGGGATTGCTCCGTGTGTGTGTGAGTGTGTGTGTGTGTGGAGTGATGGGATTGCTCCGTGTGTGTGTGTGTGTGAGTGATGGGATTGCTCCGTGTGTGTGTGTGTGTGTGAGTGATGGGATTGCTCCGTGTGTGTGTGTGTGTGTGTGAGTGATGGGATTGCTCCGTGTGTGTGTGTGTGTGTGAGTGATGGGATTGCTCCGTGTGTGTGTGTGTGTGTGTGATGGGATTGCTCCGTGTGTGAGTGCGTGTGTGTGTGTGAGTGATGGGATTGCTCCGTGTGTGTGTGTGTGTGTGTGTGTAGAGTGATGGGATTGCTCCGTGTGTGTGTGAGTGTGTGTGTGTGTGTGGAGTGATGGGAGGGTGTCTGGCCATCCCTATGTGTCTGGCTCAACTTTAGGCACGTTCGGTATCAGTCAGTGGCCTCAGTCCAGGGCAGCTGGATCATGTGTGCAGACAGCCACTTTCAACAGCCCTGGATGGGGAAATGGACACTCCCTCACATGCTCTCATGAGAAGCAGCCCAGTATAAGCAGAGCTGAGATCCTACGCACACTCACAACCCCTGTTGGGGTCAGCAAGGTCCCTCCCCAGGACACAGCCTGGAAGACAAAACTTGTGCATGGGAGTGGTAGAGCAGAAGGCCTTAGGGCTGAAGACACTAGGACCCTACCAGCTTTCTGAAGCTGCCAGGCTTCTAATACTACTGGAATTCCACTCCCAGGGATGGTCCTCAGGCGTGGTCCACGGGATGAGGTTGGCTATTTCCTAAGCAGTTCCAACACTGAGTCATTCTCTTCCGTACCTCTCAAACCATTGCCCCTCTGTATCTGTTGCATCCCAGCCTGGCTTGTCTCAAAACCTCAAGGCTGCAGCTCTTTCCGAGAAAGCCAGGAACACAGCTGTAAGTTCTAATCCCTCAGGCCAGTTCCAACACTCCCTCCTGGCTCCATATGTAAAGGAACAGCTGTGGGGGTGGCAGGAGGCCCAGCTGGCAGTGAAGCAGGGTCTAGAAGATGGAGAACAAAGGCCAGACAGGCAAACAGCAGGGTTGTTAGGATTCTAGGAACCTGGGAAAGAAACCCTTATCCCCTGGCCCAGAGACTGGCTGTAGGCCTTGCCAAATCTCTCCAGCACTGTCCTGCAGCCTTGCCTACCCCAATCCTGGCAGCTTGTGCCATGGGCAGGACTTTCCATAAGCTCTACTTTATGATTCACACTTAATCTGAAGGGAAATGGCTTTCTTTGTCTGGCTCCACCCCTGTCCTTAAAATATGCACTTCCCAGCATGAGATTTGGGTGACTGAAGAATGGTGAGGAAGAGGAAGGAAGATGGGAAAGGATTCTGCCACTCCCATCTGGCATCCTCCACTCTCCCATCTTCCCTCCTTATTCCTGGATGAGGGAACCAGGATGCAGGATGCCAGGCTGGGTGTTCAGACAGGGCCACTCTGGGCAAAGCTTACTCTGTCACGTGGTAATACACAACTGGGCACCAAGCATGTCTCTGTAATAATTATTACCCCAATGACCATGCCCTGCTCTGGTCTAGCAAGACTGTGCACTACCACACCCCATCTGGGTCCTTCCCAACCTGAAAGGACACTGGGCCTCACAACTGCTCCGTTTTAGGAAAAATATTTTAATGGTCTTTAACCTCTTTTCTAGCTGAGGCCCTCTTCTTGGTGGAACCCTCTCATCGTTGCTCTTCCCATGCCTGCTGGGAGGTAGCAGCCCCTCTCTGGAGGACCGACCCATTCCCAATGCCCCCACCCTCCTGGGAGGCTGGCTCTGGGTCTGGGCCTTCATGAGCCCATTATATGAAAAATTTTATAAAAAGTGGGCAGAACATTGTACTGTGCCCCTTTTCTGGATGCCTGGGACCAGCCCACAGCACATTCCTACCCCTTAATTAAATAGCCCATTAAATAATCTCTTGGTGCTGGCAGAGAGGGGATGCCTCGGTGACAAGCCCCATGCCTTGGCCAGACTGCCTTGGCCTCAGTGCCTCCACTTTGACTGGATCTGTGTCCCACAAGACCAGCCAGGGGCACGGCCTCATCTCACACCTCGCCAGTCCTGGGCCCCCTTCCCAACACGGAACAGTGAGTCCAGGTGGTTCATGCTGGCATCAGGCACCCCACAGCCATGGATGGGAATACCCAGGCAGCAGAGTGGACAACCCACAGGTTACAGCTCTTGCCCAAGTCAGAAGTATGTGAGGTTCTTGATGGCTCCAATTTCTAGCATCCGCTTGATGGCCAGGGCCTCTCGGGAGACATTGTGGCCTGACCCCTGTGGAGACAGCCAAGGAATTAAACTGAGGGACTTGTAGAGACCTCTTTGGCCCCAGGATAAGTATGTCTGCCCCTCCCCGTGGCCTCACACCTCTTGGGAAGTCTCTTTCCTGTGCTGGCTCTTGGAAGGATAACAGAAATCAAGTGGCCAAATACAGAAGATGCTGGCTGGAGTGTCTAGATGCTTCAGTGCCAGTTCTGACTCTGAATGACTCCACCATAAGCCACTTCTGGGCCCCTGTACCTCTCTCTCGCCCAGCATCCCTCTGGTTGTCTGGTCCCCAGGACCCATCTGTCTCATTGGGCTCGTAAGCAGGCCCACTTACCGCCATGGACTTGAGCGTAATCTGCTCATAGTAGTGAATGGTTTGCTTCTTGTTATAGGCATCTGGGTATCCAAAGCCCGCGATGTGCACCAAGTCGCAAAGGTGTAGGGCCAGGGTGATGGCCAATAGACCGGTAGTTGGTTTCTAAATAACAGAGGGTGGGAGGGAATTAGAGGGAACACTGCTTCTTTCCCATCTTCTGGGCCAGTGCTCTGTGATGGATCTTTCTGCAGTGATGAAAAAAATCTTTCACCTGCAGTGTCCAGCAGAATAGCCACAAGCCAATTGAGTGCCTCAGTGGGATTAGTACCACCAAGGAACTGAATTTTTTAGTTTATGGAATTTTAATTAATTTTTTTTGGCCATGCTGAGGATAGAACCCAGGGCTTTCTCCATTCTAGGCAGGTGCTTTATCACTGGACCAGAACCCACCCCAGCCCTAATTAATTAAATTTTAAATTTAAACAGCCACCTGTGACTTGTGGCTACCGTGAAGGTTAATCTTCGTTGTCAACTTGACTGGACAGAGAAGCGCCCTGGGGATTAATAAAGCACACATCTGGGTGTATCCTGAGGGCATTTCCAGAGAGATTAACTAATACTAATGCTACTGTGAATGTGGGTGGCACCATCTCAAAGGCGAGGTGACTGAACAGAATAAAAGGGGAAGAAGTAAAAAGCTCGCTAGCAAAGGCATTCTTTCTCTCTGATTCCTGGCTGCCATGATGTGAGCTGCTCTGATCCACTATGCCCTCCTGGTCATGATGGACTTGAAACTTCTGTAACCACAAACCCAAATAAATTCCTCCTCTCTTATGTTGTTTTATGTCATATATGTTGTCCTAGCAACGAGAGTCTGACTAATACAGCTACCATAAAAGATAATTTGGGCGTTTGTGCCTCTAGTAAGAACAATGGCAATGAGGATGACAATAATGACAGTCATCAAAATACTACCTATAGCTTTTTGAGCACTTACTATGTGCCAGACAATATGTTAAGCATTAACATAATACACTACATCATCTCACCTAATCTTCCCCCAAACACTTGTAGGTAGATACTATTAGCCCCATTTTACAGATAAGGAAAGTGAGGCTTATGAATATTCAGCAACTCATTCAAAGGATGGAAAGTATCCATCCTCCTCCTTGGAAGGCACCTCCTTCAGAAGACCTGGGAGTTCACATACTCATTGGCTGTATGACCCATCATGGGATGAGTCCTTTCTATAGAGTGGGGATAACAAAACCTTTCCTACCCACATTATGGCTGCTAAGAAGACCTCACTTCTCCCATCACCGATTTATCCACAGGAATAGGCAACTTGCTATTTGAATTTCACAAATCTCACTTTCTTCAGCTCAGCTCCAATAACCTGCTTTGCATATCACTTTAGCTATCATTTGGGAGCCAATTCCTGGACCACATCAGCCTTCTCAATGCCAGCCTTCTCCCAGCATCTCATTAAAGAGCCCCTATCATCTCATTTTCACTTTCTGGTGGGCCTTCTGAAAACCCTTGCTGCTTTAAACACTCTGGGTTCTCTCATCTAGTTCTGGCCCCTGCAGAACACATTGCCATTGTTTCTTGGCCAGCTCTCTCTGGACAGGGATCCTCACACTCACCACACTGCTCCTCCTTCCTGCATTCTCAGTATTAGATAGATACATCACCTCCCACCCAGTTGTCCAACCTGGAAACCTAGAATTGCTCATAAATCAATTCCACCTGTAAAACATGGGGTGTAGGAAGCAGAATTATAAGGACTCCAGTGATCCTCTCTCTTTTATAATCTCCACCTCTTACAGTTGTATGGAACCCACAAGCAGGATAAGTGTAGATGTTCATTAAGTTACTTCACATGGCAGAGCCAGAGATTTGAAGCATAAGAAGGATTTATCCTGCTGTTTCTGGCTTGAAGATGGAGGGAGGCAGACAGCAAGGAATATGAACAGACTCCAAAGCCAAAAAGGCACCCCCTTGCTGAGCCCACAGACAGCAAGGACACAGGGACCTCACTCCTACAACCTCCTTCATCAATAAGAATAAGCTTAGAAGCAAAATTTCCTCCCTGACCTAAGCCTTCAGACAAGAACTCAGTTCTTATGATCAGCCTTGTGACACCCCAATCAAAGGCAAGACCATGACCCGGTACATGAATACTGTTTTAGGCCACTAAGCTTGCAGTAATTAGTTAGATGGAAATAGAAAACCAACACAATGTCAAGGCCACGTGTAGCCCCTTCTTTTCCCTTCCTACCACCAGGAGTTGGGTTCAGGTCCTTGCCTTCTCTTACCCTCCTGTCCAGCCTTTATACCATCTATACCCTCCATTGCACAAGACATCCTTGTTGCCCCTTAACTCCAGTTGAGTTAAAACAGCTTTGTGCTGAAGGGGCTATTTGGCCTTGCCAAATGAAATGCCTTATTCCAGTTCCTTGCCTGATATATTTCACGATCCCTCCAGGTCCAACCCCAGTAACACTTCCAAAGAGAAGTCCTCCTCCCTAACAGCTCAGCAGAAGTCTGCATGTCTTCTGAGCTCCCACTGCACTTGGAACAACTCTACTGTGGCAATTTATTACTCCACAGTGCAACCCACAGGCTTATTCTGCAAGACTGAGTCTCCTTAGGGCAAGCAGCACTTCTCACTAGCTGAGCCTGTAGGTTCAGGGCCTGGCATTGAGCAGTTACACAAGCAGGCATTCAATACATATCATTAGATGCTCAGTTAAGAATAAAATTTTACTTATTCAAAATTTGGCACATATTGACTGGATAGGCACTGTATTCCAATCACCATATAATTATATATGATTACTTATTTTCTTAAATCCTACAATGGTCTTAAAAGGTCAGTACTAATATTATCCCCACTATACAGACAAGAACACTGACAGCCCATGTGGTAAACCTGTCCAACACCACAGCAAGTGCTACAGTTTAGAGTCATGTCTATGTCTGCTGGCTTACCACTTCCCACTATCCCACACAGCTTCCTGAGGGGTTCTAGGACCTGTGGAGAAGTACTAGGGAAGCTACAAAGGTTAAAAGCCCACCAGCTGAAGACCACCAGGGCACTAAGAAGTCAAAGTTGTAACTTACAAAACTATACCATGACTCCCAAAATTGACTCACCATATTAAACCATGACATGCAAGGCAGACTGGTGAAGCTCAGATTTTTCTAACTCAATCAGACCAACAAGGTCCAAGATAAGATCATAGACTAGCTGGGCACTGGAGGCTCATGCCTGTAATCCTAGCTACTCAGGAGGCAGAGATCAGAAGGATTGCAGTTCAAAGCCAGCCCTGGGCAAATAGTTAAAAATCCATCACAAAAAGGGCTGGTAGAATGGCTCAAGTGAAAACATCACCTGCCTTGCAAGTATGAGGCCCTGAGTTCAAACCCCAGTGCCACTAAAAAAAAAAGTCACAGACTAGTGTCTAACAGCAACTCTGTATGGGCTCAAGCTGTTCCAAAGGTAGGACCAGTGAGTGTTCCATCAGCTCCCAGTTTACAGATTCTGACCTGCTTCTGCCAAAACCATCCTCTGAGACTAGCTCCCCAAACCACTCACTCCCACTTTGGAGATACCCAGTGGTTTTCCAAAGTGTACGCGCTGTTTTACCACAGTAAGCTAATAAACCTACCTTTGATTATGGGTGTTTCTGAAGGTCAAGTGCAAGCCAAAACCTCTCATTATTTCCCCTCTCAAGGATTCCTCCACAGCTTCCCACCCAAGACCACCAACTTCCAGGTCTGGTGTCCCCATCACCATACCATCATCACCTGCTTGATTTTGCGCATGGGCAGGCTCAGGAGCTTGTCAGCTGCAATCTCCATGAAGAAGGGGTTGAGAATTCGAATCTGTTTGGGGTTGACATCCCAGATGAGGGGAGGCTGTTTCCAGAAACCTTTTCGCACCTTAGGGGGATGGGGTTGGAAGGGAAAAAGATGAGTGAGTGAAGACCCACTTCTCTGGTCCTACTCAGTTAGTGGTCCTCAGCCAGGGGCTGGATCCAAGTGAGACAGACACCTTAGGAGTGCCAGTAAGAAGGATGGGAGGTGGGGTCTGTGTCAGAAACAGGAGACCTGAGGAGAGGACAAAGAAGAGAGAGAAGAGAGGGGTACCCCCTTAGGTGACAAGGTGAGGACAGTGTGGGGTCCAACCACTGCTCATTTCCAGGATTTCCAAACAGGAAGAAGGGGCATAAGTTTTAGGTTGTCTAAACACTTGTCAAAAACAAACAAAAAAACAGATTGACTATTTTAGCTTTGGAACAGAGAGCAAGTCAAGGCAGTGGGCTCTTTCTGGGGACTGTTGGGAAGGACACAGAGCTCATTTCTAGCCTGTCTGCAGGTCATTGCTAGAGAGCTCCTATGTTCCAAGGTTTCTCATGGGCAGACACACACATCTGGGCAGCTTCCCCATCCCAGGCAGCCCTCAAGCATGGGGGCCTCTGGCTGCCACCACCTGACTCCTCCAGGCTCTCTAGCTAGGCTACTGGGGCAGCTTATCACCAGCCCTGTAGGACACTGCCCTTGGCGGGAAGCCTAAGGCACTAACACTGAATGCCTGGTTTATACTGTCCCCTCACCAGCATTTTAGGATCATAGGGCAGACATTGTGGAATGTGAGATCCTGACTTGGACAGTGTCCTTTGCCCTGGGTCTCGCCCTCCCACTTGTCCCTCAAGTCACCCGCTTCTTGTCACTCAGGATAGTCTCGATCCAGTGGAAATCCATCGCCTTGAAAGCTACCAGGACCAGGAGTGTATCTGGGTTGTTCTCCACTTTGGGGTCAAAGTGGGCAGACTCAGGGTAGAAGAGGCGCATGGTGGTCTTGGAGCCCACGTCATCCTCGTAGCCAGACACTGGGGCGTTGTTCAATCTGGGACAGGAGGAGAGGATGTTCATCACTACAGTCCTGAGACTGTCTACAGTACCTGTTTGGGATATCTAGAGTCCAAACGCAAGCGGGAGGGGTAGTCACACATACCTGATAACCACATCATACTTGTCAATGGTATCTCCCAGTGAGCTGTTCCGCAGCCGGTGCCCGTTACCCACCACCACACAGCGGCGACACTCGAGACTACCGTGGAAGAGGAGTGATTGATCAAGGCCAGAAGGAGCCCCTGCTCTACTTAACTCTCTTCCCTGGATCTGCCTGGGGCCCATCTCAGTATCACTTCTAGTCTAGGGTCCCCTTAGCCACTGGTCTTCATGGAGTGGCCTGCTTACGGTCCTGCTGACTTTGAAGCTCTAGACCCTAAAGAAAGGGGCAACTGAGCAGAGCACAGCAGAGAGAGGAAGAGAAGAGAGCAGGAGCATGGGGGCATTATAAGAGCCTCCAGTGTACAACCCCCTTGCCAGCTGCCCAGGCCTGCCTGTTACCACAGTAATACCCTTGACAGTGTCTGTCTGTTCTGGTTCCTGGATCCCAGGCTAGGTTGCTGTGGGAATCAGTGTAGCTATAGCCCCTGGAGACAGGCTAAGAAGGAGTGTCAAATTGGCCACAGCAAACCAGTGACAGGAGGGTTGCTGGGAAGGCGCTGGGCCAGGAAAAGGAGAAGGTGCCCAGACTGGAATGCGAAGAGTGTCTCCTTACCTCTGAATGCTCTCAGGTATGGAGTAGCTGGTAATGGCTAGCACCCGGAGAAGCAGGTCTTCTACAGAAAGAATGAATGGAAGGGACGAAGACAAGAGTCAGCAGGTGCATTCTGAAAGTTGTCTGCACCACTCCACTCCTCAGAGTATTTTTCCTCCTTGACAGTGATACCTGGGTCTGGCTCAAAACTTGGGCACAGGGCCCATGGATGGCCAAGAACAAAAAGCAGTGTGAGCTCCAGTTTCTATTGAACTGGGCATGAACTTACCACTCCCCTTGGTTCCATAAGGCAGCTCATAGGCAGATGGTGTCTTGACCCAGAAATAATCCTTAAGCTGCAGGAAGAGGGGCTGATCTCGGGAATGGCTGCACAGGGTAGAGATGAGAAAGGGATTACTCTACATGCCAGAACAAGATGAGGCCTCTGACTAATATTACATGACCTTTCCTTTTCTTCCTTGTCTCACTGAACTCATTACCACTGGCCTGGCTCCCTCCCTCCAGCCAGCTAGCACTGAGGCTGAGTCCCTCAATCCTGGAGTCCCCCCATACTTATGTACTTACTTGCCAAAGATCTTTGAGGCCTTCCTCTCTGCCTCCCCCCGAAAGCATGGCTCCTTCTTCTCTGGGATGGGAAAATAAAAACTGGAGACAAAAAAAGAGTAGACAGGAGCCCCCATCAGACCTGAGGTGCCAAAGCCACCATCCCAGGCAGCCTCTACCTCCTCTATAGTACACAGTTCCCCAGGTGCTGGAGAGAGACTCACAGAGTGGCATCTTCTCAACCCAAATTCTACTTTGAACCCAAATCATTGAGGGTCTACCTCTTCTTGCCCTCAGTACTCCTCTCTGTAGAGTCATCTAGATCCCAGCCCAATCCACCCTAACAGAGGACTCTGCTTAGTGATTGGAGAGGAGAGGTCAGGCCCTGGCAACTATCCCATCCCTGAGAAGAACCAATGGAAGAACACAGAAGGTATACTCACAGCTCAATGTACCTGTCTTCTCGAGAGATGGAATACCACACCATGACAGCCAGGACCAGAGCCAGCATGGCCAGGAGCTTCCAGCCTGCAGGGCACATGCACAGAGGAGCTAGAGGCAGAAACAGGCAGGTACAGCCCCAGTTCACCTTCTTCCCTGCCCCTTTCTGGGCCCGCCATCCCCAACCAAGTAGACCCACTTCCTGGTCCTCTCCTGGCCCTAGCCCATGGCTGGAACCTGAGTTGTTTTGCTGTCTTTCAGGAAGAAGAGAAGGTCCCTGGCTCCGGGTCTGACCCTCCACCACCCTCAGGGGGTCCCAGGATGCCGCTGAGGACGGCTTCTGGAGGCCTGCCCTCCAGCGTGGGGGAGCCCCTGGACAACACTCACGGGACTTGCTGATCATGTTTCTCAGCAGGTAGCAGGGTTCCTGGGGAGAACTGTCATCCCGGCTGCCTCGGGCCACCTAGGAGGTAGGAGTCCCAGGTGTCTGTCTAGTTGGCTCCACCAATACCCCTGCCTACTAGACACTGGAGCAAGTCACACCCCTACCTACCCCTTTCTTCCTCCAAGAAAGCCCAAAGCAGCTCCTTAGGGCACCCAGCCCCTCAGCAACCTTCTCACCCTGGACATCTTCCTAACCCCTCAAAAAGCAGCATCAAGGATACAAGGGGAGCCCTACCACAGAAGGAAAACTGAGGTCCCAGTCCTCAAAGATTAGGACTGGCCCACTCCAGCTTCTCCTGTGTGGTTCTCCTCACCATCCTTCCAAATTTTGATCAAGGAAGCGTCAACTCAGAGGACAAGTGGGTACCCCCACTCACTTTTGACAAAAAAGCCTAACAGTGCCAGAGCTTGATTCATATTTTATCCAAATGAAGTTTATCTACTCTCCACTCTCCACCATCCAAGACATGCCTTGGTCTGACCACTGCCCCCCTCACTTAGCAATCTCCTGAGATTCTAGTCAAACAGTTGTACAGGGGTCAGATACTGAGGGTGAAGGTGGAGCTATGAGGGTCCTCATGAGGCCCCCTCCAGCCTTTCTAGAGTCTGACCCAAGAAAACAGTGTCTGAGCCTCACCACCCAAGTGAGGTGAACTCAGTGAAGGAAAGGTGAAAGCATAGCAGTGTGGGGAGCCAAAAGGTGCTGATTGGTCAGAGGAGTCAAGAGACACTTCCCATGTCAAAGTAAGGGGGAAGGTCAGCAAGGTAAGGTCTGAGCAAGGTCTGAAGGTGAGCTGCCACATGCACCAACTCTGCCAGAACCATACTGCTGATTCCTGTCTAAGAAATCTCTGCAGCTTCTACAGACACAAGAAGTAGCTCAGGATGCTGAGTACCAACCAGCTTCTTGCATCTGGTGCTCTGTCCATCCACACTATTTCCCCAAGGACCAAGACCAGAAGAATCACTGGAGCAGCTTGCCAAACACAGACATATGCATTCCAAGGTCTTGCCCTGGAGTTCCCCCTTGCTCAGTTTAGGTGGGGCCTGAGGCCATTTTCACACACAGCTCATTCACATCAGCTCGGGAAAGGGAAGAAAGTGCTAGTGTTTGTGCTTTTTCAGGGATAAATGAAAGTCGTTGATTATTTCTTGGATGTGAAGACAGCATCTGAACAAGGCCTGGTTTTGTCACCAATCATAAATGAATGATCCTAAACACTGTCCTTTATGGAATCGATGCACTGCTTCCCAGTGGGGGCATTCCCCAGACTCCACTCTGAGTGCACAAACACTTGACGAACAGGTTCTGAGTGTGGGGTGTGAGCTGGGGAGGGAACAAAACCAGACTTTCTTGGTAGGGTTAGCAGCAGCTGAGGACACATCTCAGAGAGAATGGAGAACAACCCTGCCCAGTAAAGAAGTTAGAGATTCACCACTTCTGTGCTGCCTCTTACAGTTGGCACTGAGCAATATCTCTATTCCTGAAAAGTTAGAGATTTGTAATCAGAAGTCCCCAGTCAAAGTCTTTACTCTAGAAACTCCCCCAGACATCTCTACCCACCTACAGTACATCCAAGTCATTCCCAAACATGGCCCTCTTCATCTCTTTCGTAGCTGTTTCCTGGTCTGTAATTAGCTTACTTATATACTTTTTTGCATTCTACCTAAGTCCGCTACTGGAATAGAAGCCCTGTGAGGGTCAGAATCAGTTCTGTTCTGTTCCTATCTCGAACCCAAGCCTCCAGCGTGCTGCCTGGCACATAGTAGAATAGATTAGAAAGCACTGAATGTCCAGGTCTGGTGGCTCACACCTGTAATCCTAGCTATTCAGGAGGAAGACATCAAGAAGATTGCTGTTCAAAGTCAGCCCAGGCAAATAGTTCAAGAGACCCTATCTTGAAAAAAAACCATCACAAAAAAGGGCTGGTAGAGTGGCTCAAGGTGAGGCCCTGAGTTCAAACTCAAGTACCAGAAAAAAAAAGTAATAATGAGCCCACCCTCATTCCTTGCTGGGTCCCTGCGCCAAACCTAGAGGACTGCTCTGGGTCCAGGGCATTCCAGCAGCACAGGGCTTCTTGGGTTGGCTGCTACAAGGACAACCTGGTAGCCATTTCCACCAGCTGCCCCACATGGCTGACCCAGCTCCTGGGGATAAAAGGGCAGAAGAAAAGTCACAGTAAGGTACCTGGATAGGAAAGCCCACATCTGATTCATCCATGGCCAAGGCTCACCAATCTTACCTACGACCAGCCGCTCAGGAGACCAGCTCACCCAACCTGTGGGCAAAGCTGATGCCGACAGAAAGACTCTCTCAGATCAGGAGGATCACAGTTCGAAGCCAGCCTGGGCAAATAGCTTGTGAAACCCTATCTTGAAAAAATCTACCACAAAAAAAGAGCTGGTGGAGTGGCTCAAGGTATAGACCCTGAGTTCAATCCCCAGTATTTCAAAAAAGAAGAAAGAAAGGCATGTCCACGGCTAAAATGAGCTGTGGAGCTCTTCCAGGGGACTTGCCCAAGGGTAGAACTAGAGGTACAGGGTGGAGAAACAAAATTACTGTCCCCACACTCACAGCACAACACATGGTTGTGTACTCAGCCAGGCCACTACAGCAAGAGTAGGACACTAGAGATGCCAAGCAGCATGACGCCAGGAGCCTGAGCCCCTGGACCCATCACAGGGATCTGGTTAATGTTTTGGAAGAGAGTCTGGGAAGACCAGTGGGGGCAGAAGCCCAGGGTTACTTAATGGTTCCGTGATCTTAGTCCATAAATCTCACTGTCCCTCTATTCTGTAAGAAAAAACCAGAGCCACCTACTACCTTGTCACCTTTAGACTCATCCACTTTTTTTCCCTCCAAATTCTTCCACCTGGACACTCTATCCCTCCCCATCAGCTTCCCAGAATTGGTTTCAATCAATGACACCACCCCTTTGCCCTATAGGAGCACACCACCACGCTCAGATTCTCTACTCTCTCTGACTTATATAAACACTCTTGTCCCATAAAGCAAAAACCTGTCTCTGCCTCATCTACCCCTATGTGTATGAGTTCCTCACTTTCTACTCCTCCCTTCACCTCTACAAGGCTCCCTCCCTCATTTTCAGGCTGAAATTGCTCTTGCTGAGTTCACTGGTGGCCTCCTAATCACCACACACAAGAAAGGTCTATCTTCATTCTTCCTTATACTGCTAGGCCTTGGAGTATGTTGGCCACACTTCTTTCTTGGCTTCTAGGTCAAGGGCTTCTCCAGGTTTTCCTCCTACCTCCTGCCTTTTAGGACAGTCTTCAAGGCTCTGTTTCCATTGCCCACACTTCAAATTCTGGCCTCCAAGCTCTGTGCTGCACCTTTCCCCATAATCTCACAGGACAAGTTCATTCATTTTCAGAGGTCTCACCGTCATTCATACACTGGTGATTTGAGCTCCTTATTTTTACTCTAAATGCCTCTCAGATTCCATCTTAATATTTCTAACTGACTACCTGGATGACCTTAAACTCTTCAAACTACACATGTTCCAAGTGGGCTCATCGCTCCCTGACTCCCATATCATCATCAAGCCCCCAAACACATTCTCCTCCTCTGACCCTTCCCCAGCTGGATATTAACTATTATGGATTCTACTCTCATGTGCTCATTCCAGCCAACACTTGCTGAGCTCTGACCATATGCCTGGCATTGTGGTGGCACTGAAGATAATCAGCTTTGTAAAACTTAGCTCCAGTGTAAAGGCCACACAGTCTAGACCTTCAGAAATACTTCGGAATGTAGCTCCCCACCCAGTTCTCCCTTCTGATCATAGCCTGATTCCAGATCCTAGCCCAAGTACCTGCTTTCTAACTGGGCTCTTCACAACTCTGTCCTCACTCAAGCCTCTTCTTCAGAACTGCCAACACCTTCCTAAGAAACGACTGGATCAAACCATCCTCTTGCTTCAATTGTTCCTTTTTCTTAAGTGAAAAGCTAAAGTTCCTTACCAGGCAACCAGAGCCCTTTAAACTCAGGCCAGGAGCCCTGCAGATGCATTGCCTACCTTCCCCACCAGCATGCTAAAGGAGCCCTGTTTCTTTCCCACAGTGTACCCTTCCACACTCCCTCTTCTGCCCAGGCTTTCCTGCATTAGGTTTCATGCTATGGTTTGAATGTGGCCCCAATGTTCCTGTGTTACAAACTTGACCCCTAATGCTGGTGCTGGAAGTGGGACCTTTAAGAGGTGTTTAGAATTGGGGGTGTAGCTCAGTGGAGAGTACTTGCCTAGAATGTGCAAAAGGCCCTGGGTTCCATCCCCAATTCCAAAAAAAAAAAAAGAGGTACTTAGGTCATGAGAACAGAACCATCATCATAGGACTGGATTCATTACACTGGGAATGGATTCATTATAAAGGGACAAGTTCAGTTTCCTCCCTTCTCCCCTCTGCCATGAGATGAAACAGCAAGAAGGCCCTCATCAGATGTTGCCCTTTGAAAATGAACTTTTGTCCATTATAAATTACTCAGTCTGTGGTATTCTGTCATAGCACAAAACAGACTAAGACAGGAACTTGGTACTGACAAGTAGGGCTGCTGATAGAATTAACACCTGAAAATGTGGAGACAGAACTTTAGAAGTGGATGGTGGGTAGAGACTGGAAGAAAATGGAAGTGCAGGCTACAAAAAGTCTAGATTGTTGTGAGTGGAGCATTAAGGGCTATTCTGGTGAGGGCTCAGAAGAAGAGACCTGTAGGAAAAGTCCAAAACTTCTTAGAGATAACTTAAGTGATTGTTATCAGAATGCTGGCAGAAATACAGAAAGGACCATTCTGATGAATTCTCAGATGGAAATGAAGAACAGGATTGGAAACTGGCATAGAAGCCAACCTGGTTACAAAGTGGCTAAGAACTTGGCTGAATTGTGTCTGTCCTAAATTTATGGAAGGCAGAAATTAAGAGTGATGAACTAAGGCATTTGGTGAAAGAAACATCTCAGCCACAAAGTGTTCAGGGTCTGCACAGTGGCTTCTTTTAACTGTCTACA